TTCATATCTTATTGTTTCTAGGCAAACACTTCTATATTTATTCTAAGGAATTAGATCAAAAAAAAATTAATTTCCTTATTCAGCTTAGATCCCACGTACACCAAGTGCTCTGATTTTTCGTCAAGCTAGATAGGCTCCAACTCTTCCGATGGTGTTGCCCTAGTTTCCAACTCGTCCCTCATGTCAAGCTTTTCCAGTTAGATGTTTTTAACCTCTTTCTTTTTTATGGACGTCATGTAGCACTCTCATGCCACACGTTAGTCTTCTCGGACCACTCCAATTCCGTTTTCTATAGGGAACTTCACGACAAGATAATAGACATAAGGGATTACCCTAATGATATTAAGGGAAGGTCTTCCAAAAAGAATATTGTATGTTGAAGGTGCATCGACCACTAAGAACCTTATAGTGGTGGTGGTCTGGCGAGGAAAATCTCTCATAGTGAGCACGAGATGTATTGATTCCAGAGGCATCACCCTTTCTTCTGAGAACCCTAATAGGTGAGTGCTTATTGGCTCAAGTTTGTCTCTGTCTATATCCATCTTGTCGAAGGTAGACGTGAAGATGATATCAGTAGAGCTCCTGTTGTCAATCAAGACTTTACAGACGATTTTGTTTGCAACGACGGCTCTTACCACCAGAGGGTCATCATGAGGATGCTGGTAGCCTTCCAAGTCTGAGTCTACGAAAATGATATCTATGTTTAGCTGAGGTGACTTGGATAAGGTATGCACTTTCAGTATCTCGTCAGTTTTGATTCTACGCATGTGAGTCTTCCTAGCTGAGCTGGATTTCCCACCTCCTACGAATCCTCAAGATATCACTCTGATCTCCCCCAAAGGTTGTTGATGTTGTGTAGTGACCTGCTGCTAAGGTGGTGGAGGTGGTGGTGGAGCTTGGTTCTAATTGCCATGTGCCACAAAGCAGCGCAACTGCCCTCACTAAATTAGGAATTTGAATTCCTTTTTTAGTTGGATGCAATCATGGGTGAGGTGGTTGTGGTCCCTGTGGTACTCGTAATACTTTTTTGCATCACTTTTTGCTGGTTTTGTCTTCATCCGAGGTAGCCACCTCAACAATTTCTCATTCTATACTTTGTAAAGGATCTGGGACACCGTAGTTGTAGGTGGGGTGAGCTGCCAAGGTGCATACCTCGACTGTAATTCTAGCTATGGATCCCTAACATCTCCCCTTCTTTTGAGAGAGAGATCTTTGTCTCTTCTTGGAGACTATCTCATCATTTTTCTTTTTTGGGACTTTGGTCCCTCTTCCTCTCTTCCTTCCCTTTCTCCTTCAGTGTGGATGACCTCCATACCTTAGAAAAGAGAGCTTCCTCACCATTAATATACTTTTCTACCTTTTCTAACACTTCTGTCATGCTTGCTTGTGGGTTTTTTGATATGGAGCACATCAAGTCCTTTGGTTGTACTCCTAACCCGGCGATGAAAGTCGTGATGGCGAATTTTTCATCTGGAATGTCAACTTTTAGCGATTCCTAGTTGAAACTTTGGACATAAGACCATAGGCTCTCGTTGGGCTCTTGTTTCACATTCAATAAGTGATAGCTCAATTTCCGATAGGTCCGGGCTCCTATGAAGTGTGACACAAAGGATACAAAGAGCTCCTTGAAGGAGGAGATAGATACTAGGGCTAGCCTATTGAACCATGCTAAGGCTGAGCCTTTTTAACGTAATGGCTTAAGCGTGGCATTGTGCTAGATCTTGATACCCGTGCAACTCCATTTGATTCTTGTAGGTGTTGAGGTGATCCATGGGATCTTTTGTCCCATCAAAGGCCTCCATTTGGGGCATTCTAAACTTCGAAAGGAGGGGGAAGTGTACCACATCTGCAGTAAAAGGCGACTCAGTCTGCTGGACCAAGGCATCCATAGTTACTAGGGTCTTGCCTCTCACAGCTTCCTTCATGTGGCTAAGCTCCTGCTGGATATCTTTGAAGCGTTGTTCCTAATACTACTCTCTTCCTTCCTGCGGGAAAGGGAGAAACTCATTTTTCTCAGTTCCCATATTCTGGCTTTGCACTTCTTTGTTGTCACCATTCCTAGGGGTGGATGTGGAGCATAGCCCATAGCTTGACTGTTTTCACCCCCCACGTTAGTCTCCCTTAGGGGATCAAGACGTTGGTGCTCCCCTTATGGGGGATCATTAGGATTATCCTAGGCTGGTCGCGCCTTCTGAGGATGTTGAAAGAACTTCAAGAGCTCCTCATTCTATTCTAATAGACGTTGGTTGACTAGGCAGAGAGCCTCTAGTTGGTTATTCGAATAGGGATCAGCCATGGAAGTATTGGTATCTATGGTGGGAAAAAAGTCTTGAAGATTTTCTTGTTGCCTTCCGTTGGTGGCTTCCTGCTGGTTCTGCATCCGTTGGGGATTCATCTGACTTCTGCTCATGTTGCATGTAGAGACCATCAATTACTAAAAGATGTCAGTGTATTTGTAAGAGGAACAATCGTTCTCACAGACGGCCTCAAACTGATGATGTGTAAAACGTAGATGAGTAGGATGTATATATATAAAGTTGGATCTGAGCTACTAGGCTCGTGAGAATAGTGATGATTCACACCGTAAAGTTATAGTGGTTTACCAGCTCGGGGGCTCAGCTAATCCACTCTTCAATAAAGTCTCTTGCTCCTGAGACCTATATTGATGGTTTTGAGGTGATTACACAATGTTCTCGATACAACTTGAGTTGCTTACCGTGCAATGAGGATACTATTACGAACTCTTCTTTCTTCTTCTTCTTTTGTATCCATTGTGTAAAAAAAAAAAAACCATTCATAGATGTTCCAAAATATTTTGATCCATCCAACAATGAGGTTTATTTATGTTTGCGATTGATCAAGAACATTTGGGATCAATTCCAAATGTTTTGGGATTAATTTTGTAAAATATTTTAAGGGGTTACATGTTTTAAAAATGATATTATAGTATGTTTGGTACACTTACCACTTTTGAGGATAATGTTTCTATTTTTGGGGTGAAGTTATTATTATACATTTTGACATGAAGTTATCACCTTTTTGGTACTATTCTACTTTTGGATATTGTACCAAAAAGTAGAATTATGGTACAATAGTGTTGTCATATATAATAATGTCACGTTGGTCTCATGTTGATTGGGAAAGATATTTTAAAAAATTTTGTATTTTGTCAATTTGTGTCTATGTAATGTCATGTCGAAGCTAACTCAATCTACATACGACTCATTTATTAAGCAAGCCTCACAAATTTTAGTGTATGAGTTAAGGGACCGATTCATATCCCAAGCTTTACCTTTGGTTTTATTCAGAGTTACAAACCTGAGTGACATAAGCGCGTCTCTATTCATTAAGGACAGCCACGAAATTTTCCCCTTTTTGAAGATATAAAACTATTAAAGCTAAACCAATACTGGATAACATATACTAATATAGATTGCTTTGACGAGATGTGTAAGAATTGTTGGCCATAGTTTTTTGAGTTAATAGAACTTTTAATTCTTAAAGTATGTTCGTTTTGTCAGTTTAATTCTCATTGTATTAATTTTGTCAATTTGATTTCTAAAGTTTCAATTCATGTCACTGTGGTTCTTAATTAGACAATTTATTAAGTTTTTTGACAAAAGTGATCATATGTCATTCTTTCAAACGATATCACGTGTCTATCACGTGATAATTCCATGAAAATCTTAATGATCCGTTTATGTAGAAATCTTTTAAACACGAATGGAATAATTTATGGATCAAATTTACAAAATTGATAGTTTACAAACTAAACTGATAAAACGTACATACTTTATAGACTAAAAATACTATTAACCTTAAATTGTTTAACCACATAAGAAAAGTTTGAAATGATTTTAATCAAAATTTGTACTCGGAAACATATATGTTTTTTATGAATGGGCTTACGGTTGATTGCTGACTACTTGACATCATTGGCTTAACCCTTGCTAAAATTGGACCTGAGGCAATCTTTATTTACTCTTGGCTCTTCAGAAGAATGTAATTTCGACATTCACTATTTTATATTAAGCATTCATTATGAATTCAGATTGGACTTAATATGTTCAAATAATTTCTTTATCCGTACGTACATAGTGGATGAGATTGGTTAAGCTTGGTTTAAAATTTTGTTGAAGGATAGGGAGCTCATTGATTCAAAATTGAATATATACATGTTTGAAACTCAAATCCACCTAACGCATTCATGGTATAGTAGGTCATTTTCCCATCTTTTTCTATACTGTGTAAGATTTACACACATGTAATATCTAATAAACTCCCCCTCGTGTGTGAATCACATTGTGCTTAGCTCTGATCCATCACTCGCTTGGCTCTGATCCCACTTATTCGGAGACAAGAAATCCAGTGATCCAAAGTATAATATAAATGTTTAGAACTTAAATTCAATTATAAGCTTCAGACTATAGATTGTTAGTTCATTCATAATATATTAGAATATTTACATGGTGTAGAATTTCCATAAATGTAATGTCCAACAATTTTTTGTTTCTTAAATTATGTCATATTTGTTGGGGCTTTTCGCACTTTGCACTCTGAACAATTTTAATATTTTTATTTTGTATCAACAAAGATTAAATTTTTCACATTGCACCATTAATGTATCAAAAGTGTTACATTATAACATTTTTATTCATTTCCATTATTTTTTTTTCTGTCAAAAGTCAACTCATTGACATTGACAAAAAAACTAACAAAATTGTCATATTGCAACACCATATTTGTTGAGTTACTTGTAGTTGTATAGAATTCAGCCTCCCCAAAACTTTTTTTTTTTTTGTCACATCTGCTCTGTAAAGAATTGCCCAAAAGATTTGTGTTTGCTACACTTAAATCTTGAATCTCCATCTTTGGGACAAACCACAATATGTTTGAACCGTTGCAATTGTAAATGATTAGCACAACTTGTAAAACTTGTAAAGTAGTATAATTTAAAAGAAATAAGAAGAACTTCGCAAAATAAATAATTCTTTTAGTTTGCGAAATATTTCCATTTAAAACTTGCATCTAAAGGTTCTTTGAAGGAAAACAAACATGTTCGCGGTATAATCCAAGTGCCCAAAGTGGAAAGATGCTCCTATATGCTGCATAATGTAGCATACACACTCTCAGAGAGGTCCCTGTCATCTCCTGCAATGACAATTTGAGGATTTCAGGGACAAACAAAACAACACCCAAAACAATGAACTAAAAACAGTATAGACCGACCAATGCCCAGAAATCCAAAACCAGTATGTGAAATCTAAAGGTTGCCTACTGTTTGTTATGCAATCTAAATGTTTCAAAGGTTGCCTCCTGTTAGTTTGGTGGTTGCATAAAATACAGAAATGACATTCAGGACATTGCTATGACAATGTTTTGAGCTTGAAACATTTTTGAGCTTATTCTCTAACAACTTAAGTTTTTATAATAATTGTCCTCCAACACCAACCTGATGTCATGCACACAAGAGATTTAATCAATTCAAAGCAGATATACCTGCTGAGGAAAATCGCCATTGTCCATTTGCGAGTTTATCAAAAACTTTGCTGCTTTATGTAAAGGTGCCGGATCTATGTCGGCCTAGCAACAAGCAAAAATTGCTGATTAGACTTGTATGAGAGTATATTCCTACAGGACTGGACTTCAAATTAGAAAAGGGGCGAGGTGCTTGATGGTTCAAACCATTGCTTCATGGATTGCTATTTCCAGAGCAGTGTTTGAAGAAGGAAACCTTGATTAGAGGTAGCAGTTAATCGAGCATATCCTTCTGAGTTTTTGTTTTGCTCAGGCTGAGTTTGATTTTACTATCTCAGGCTCGAGCTCAGTTGCAAAGCTTGCGTTCTTGTTCAAGCACCACTTGATTTTTAATTCATAGGCTCAAATTCAGCTCAGCTCACCTCGTTTTTGTATTATAAGCTCGAGCTCAGACACAATTAAATCCAAAAGGCAAAACATCAATGAGATGCAAATTGCAATCTCCTGATTACAATCAGAAAATACATCTCATCCACTTAGATAAAGGCGCTATTTTGTCATTTCTTCATTACAAACAATATTTCTACATCAAAATAAAAATCAATCAAGCTCGGAAGGAGCTTCAAAACTTAATTATATTTGGTTCATTTTCTAAACTAATTATGGACGAACTAAAACCAAAGAAAGTCAAAACTGAACCCAAAAGTGTAGGTTGGTTTAACAGCATGAACCACGATGATGTTTCCTCTTAACATTGGCAGGGACAGGGGGTCAAGGAATGGTAACTGGGGCTGGCCCTCTCTATAGAGACATGCCCCACAACCCCAGCATTCCTTCTGCATATTGCTTGTATATTATTATGGGACTCTACTTTTAAATTGATGGGCAACTTTCCCTCAATTTTTCATAATAATAGATGTAGATCACTTATTATTAATTTATGTGGAACCCATTTTATACAGTGGATCCCCCATATCATTAATATGTGGTGAGTGATCTGAAACTGAAAAAAAAAAAAAACTAAAAAAAAAAATGTATTAAAAGGGATCCCAATCCTTTTGGGACTAACCTGTCCAGCATGAATGAGAGCCATTAATGCCCATGAAGTTTGTACTACATTCGACCTGTTTCCTTCCAAATGGGTATACTCCTGTTTCAACAATACATTAGGAAACTGTAGAACCCAAAAATAAACACCATTTTTTGGAATTGAGACAAATGCAAACAAGTAGCTCGTTGGGCAGCGAAATCTATTTAAAGTCGGCTACTGGATCTTGGCAGATCTACTTTTTCTTATTCTATACAACTATAGAACTGCAAGCATGTACTCCTATTAAGTCTTATCTAAGAAGCACAGACACGCTTAAGAATGTGATGTATTCGTTTCAAATACTGACACTTCTCAGAAACATATTGGACACTATTTTATTCATGTCCATGGTTAAAATATGAAATTTTAATTTTAGAAACGTGTCCGACACTCCTTTAGTAACGTGCCCAACACATCTTGAGGTGGTGTCTACTACTAAAATATAAACACATAATGATATGTAATTAAGAAAGCTCATAAATTTGACAAATAATTAACTTATTCTATGAATGAATACATAATTATTAAGAGTAGTCATGTTGAAATTGTACTTAAAATTTATTAATAAAAACAAAAGATGCATAAAAGTTTTGCCAAAAATGAGGAATTGAGAAGATAACAACAATAATAATGATTATTAGGTTTTGCTATGCTGTCCTTTTATTAACTACTATGACCCTTTAGCCTAAACTTCACACTACTTGATTAAACATGAGAGTTACTTGTCATAAAGTACGGAATTTCTTATGAATAGTTCTACAATTATTCTTATCTTTTGGATGAACTATATAATTTGATGTAAAACATAGTTATTTGTATCCAAACGTGTCATATTCTACTTTTTTGAGAAATGTGTCGTTCGCATGTTCATGTTGTATCATATTTATCTCATGTCGGTATAAGTGTTTCTTAGCGTGTGATTAAAGTTCCAGAAAAAACAGCAACCCTAGACAAAGAAAAATGAGTAGAAAAAAAAACACACTATTCAAAAAAAGTATTTAGAAAAGCAAAAAAAAAACAGAAAATAAATACTTAAAAAAAGTTACCAAGTACCTAATCTCTTGGTTTCCTAAAAGTAGTATATTGCTCTTCTCTTTTCTTGTCATTATCTTATTGCTTGTTCTTGAAGTCTATTCTACAGCATTTACTGCATTCAAATTACCTTAATTTCTACATTACAATCATCATTTCATTAAGATTTAGGCAGACAATACCTCCCAAAAAAGAAAAAAAAAAAAGAAAGAGTTAGGGTTGACAAACCTTAAAACTATCAATTAATGCAACACAAAATTGACGCTATGTTACCGAGTATGGATTCAGTCTTAACTGGTTCTGAGCATAACCAGATGATCCGCCTGACCTACGTAATAAATGGGTGGACACAAATCGGACTATACATGACCATAAATAAATCATGCATAAGTTAAACAAATTTTAACATGATACGACTTAAACACGGTATGACCTATCGTCAATCCCAATTGAACCCTTCATGATTTCTTCTTGAACCCCTTCTAAGGGAAACGAGGAGCAAAAAGTACAAAATTAGATTAGAAATTTAAGAGTGATATCAATCAATACACATATACATAGGCAAGTGTGTACCATATTTGGGCATGCAATATAGCTTTCCCCCCATCCACCTGTGTCCTCTTGTTTTGAAAGCAGGAATTTACAAGCTTTGAGGATTGCTAGGCAATTGTAATACGTCCGGCCACAGGCTACTAAACCTTTTAATGCAAACAATGTGCCATAGGTGAAGCAAATCCCCCAATTTCCATACCTGTAAACACATATCATATGAAGTCACAGTGCAATTATGAGCAAAGAAGGATAAATTCTTTTTTTGGCTCCTCAACATTGCTCTAAACCTCTCCTCATAATTATAATTACTGACTTCACATTAGCCTAACTACAAAGTAAATTGGAAAACTGAATAAAAAGTTGGGTCCTTAATTTATAGTCCCGATCATACTTCATCCTTCAAAGTGTGTGAATTTATTTCATTTTGCTTGAAAATCCAATGATGAGGGGATGTTGTCAGGCCGTAACAGAATGGACTTTTAATTTGAGCAAATATGAAATTAATTCTAGATTCGAGTAATTGAGGAGCAAAGTAGGAAACTCAATAACAGAGAGAGGGTCAAGTAAGATCGGGACTATAAATTAAGGATACAATATAATTTTCACTAAAAATAATCACTCAAAAGACATTGCAATCACCAAGAACCATCAGAATTCTGCTTGTCTTCAAGATAACATAGTGCTTTAGCAATTGAGATTTGTATTTCTTTCCCTCTGTGTTCTGGATACAACTGTTTGAATGATACTAAAGCTTGGACTGCAGAAGCAGTGCATTCAACACTCCTAGACCATCGAATGACCAAATTTAATTAGAATTCATGATAAGAATTTGTGTGATATCAAAAAGGCAAAAGTGAAAAACCATACTCATGATCAACGATAGCAATGGCAAAAACTTCCGTGGGATTTAACAGCTGAGGGGAAAAGTAGCAGAACATTAATGGCACACCTATTTTGCAGTTGAAAACAAAATTCTTTCTGGATGGTCATGTAAAAGGCACATTAAGGTACATACTGGAATTGGGAGCCTGCCCAAATTATTTGAACTACTGCATTATTTAAAAGATGTTACCTCCAACCATGGCGGTGATCTTATTGGCTCCCAGGGTGCAAAACCTCCATTTTTGTGCTAGAAGTAAAACAAAAGAAAATTTGGGAAACAGGAAATATTTGTTAGTAGAAATCATATGACAACCAAAAGACCCTGGAAGTTTCTAAGATTTGCTACACAGAAAATATGGGTGCTCGTACTTGCAAGTAAAGAAGTACATTCACAGCGTCAAATAATCGTTCAGCTTCTATTTTTTCCCCCACAGTTTCCAGTGGCATTTTTGAGAGCAAGAATAGAGCCTGCAGAGGAGAAGACAAATATGTTAATTGCCAATTGATAGCAACTTTTTCATGTTGTAACCTTGTAAAAAAAATTCTTAATTACCTTCATTGCTTCGGCTGTACAGTCAGAGACTTGCCAACCATTATCTTGATCAGAGAATGACCAAGCCCCTTTCGAAATGTGACGATACATACTTTGAAAGTCGCCAGATGGGTTTTCTTGAATCTTTAAATTAGATGATCCAATATTAGTGAGGTGAAGAAGAGACACTAGTATAGTTTCTCCTAGACATTTTAACATACATATAGGATACATATTGAATTATAGAGAAAGAGAGAGAGAGAGAAACCTGTGACTGTTTGATAAAATTGTGTGCTTTTTTAAGGGTAATCCCAAACTCATCAACAAGATTACTCGCTATAATTGCTTGTGTAGCATGAACAGCATCCCATAATTGACTTCCAAAACTCTGTAATTGAAGAAACAATTTAGCAAGTGCAGCACTGAGCTTGACAAATAAAATGGGAGGTTTGGACATTACTTTTGTAAAAGGTGGCTCTCTGCTACTGTAAGGTCTGGGGGGGGGGGGGGGTGTCAATCTTTGAAACCAAAAAAGAAAGTCTGGTTTGGACAAACCTGCACTTTCATTCCATCTTCAGCAACCCAAAAGAAATCTGGAATCCTAGCCAGGTGCAATTTGAATGCTCTTGAATCTGGTTTTTCTGCCCAACAAGCCATCAAATGTAAAGCCTGCATGCATGACCAAAACAAAAGATTAATGTTCCCAGCTTACAATATAAAGGAAATGAATTCCTTTGGAAGTGTACAAAAGCAACTTTTTTTCTTTTCATTTTCTTTTTTGTGATAATCACAGGCGAGTCTGGTTTTGAAATTTTTAAGGAATTAAGCCCATTAGGTGGTGTTTGATAAAATTAAAAATCAATTTTTGAATTTTAAATACTGAATTTTTTAATTAGTAAATTATTTGTTATCAACTGAAATTTAAGTATTGAATTTAATCAAATTATTTGACAAATATAAGAAGTTGAAGTTTAAAAATTATTATTATTCTAATTTTGTTTTTCTTTTTAACCATCTCTCTACAAATGTCTTTTTTCTATCACTACCATCAAAATAGTGGTTGTAGTCGTGGCGCCAACCCAATGGTGGTGGTCGTGGTAGCAATGTTGGTGATAGTGGCAGTGTCAGTGGTAGTGGTGGTACAATAATGGTGGTGGTGGCAATGGTACAATAATGGTGGTGGTGATGGTGATATTGACGACAACATTGGTGCTGGTGGTAGCAGTGGCATAATGGTAGTGGTGGTGACATAATGGTAGTGATGGTGACGACGAAACAATGTTGATGATAGTGGTAGTGGTAGTGGTAGAGTTGGTGGCGACAATGGCAGTAGTGGTGGTGGCAATGACACAATGGTAGTGGTGGAGGCAGCGATGATAGTGGTGGCATTGACAGGTGGTGATGGTGGTGGTAATGGTGGTACATTGGTAGTGGTGGAGGCAACGATGATAGTGGTGGCAGTGGCACAATGATAGTATGGTGGTGACAATGGTGACGGTGGTAGTGATGGCAATGACAATGACAGTAGTGGTGGCGGTGGTAGTGACAACACAATGGTGGCGGTAGCAGTGACATAATGGTAATGGTGACGGCGGCGATACAATGGTGGTGACGATGGTAGAGATAGTTGCAGCAATGGTGGTGGTAGTGATTGTGGTAGTGGCAGTGGCATAATGGTAATGGTAGTGGTGGCACAATGATAATGGTGGCGGCAATGATGTTGGTGGTGACAATGACACAATGACAGTGGTGGTGATGGTGGTGACGATGATGGTGATGGTGGTACAATGGTAATGATGGTGGTGATGGCGGCAGTGTTGGTAATGGTGGTGATAGTGTTAGTAGTGGTGGCGATTACACAATGGTGGTGATGAAATATTTGTCAATTTGAGAATTTATTAAAACATTTTAAGCTAAGTGAAAGGTGGTTTGCTATTCATATTTTTAAGCCTTAAGTGGTGTTATTAAACAACCCCTTAAATATATATGGTATAAAGTCTTAGAGTTAATTACAAATTGCACTGCAAATTTTTTTCAAATCTCAATTTACACCTTCAAAGATAAAAAATTTAATTTATACTCTCAACACTAGAAGAATAATGACATTTTGTGACAAATTTTTTACGACGACTGTGTTTGCCGTCACAAAAGACATGTTTGAGACAATTTTTTGTGGCGACTGTGTTTGCCGTCACAAAAAGTATGTTTGTATTAGTATTTTGTTAATATTTGTGGTAACTATTTTTTCTTCCGTAAATAGTGTTATAAACTCAAAAGAAATTTTTGTATTTAAGACAACTGTTTTTCCTGTCTCAAATAATATTTTATAAACTCAAAAGAATTTTTTATATTCCTGGTAGATATTTTTTTCGTTGTATATAATATTTAATAAAATATTAAAATGTTTTAGATTAAAAAACAGTTTATAATTTAAAGAAGAAAAACTCTAAAAAAAATTTATATTGGCCACAACTATTTTTCATGTTACAAGTAATATTTTATAAAATTACGAAATTTTACATTAAAATACAATTTTTAGTTCAAAGAAAAAAAAATTAAACTCTACAAAGTTAATTTCTTATATCAAAAATAGGGGTGTCAAAATATAACACGACCCGTTAACACGACATAAAATTAGTGGATTTCAGTCTTCCTTAAACCACTTATTTAGTAAACGATTGAACTTGACACAATACAATTATAAACGTATTCGGTATTGGTTAAACTAATTAGAAGAAATGTATACGATATGACTCGTTTATATACCATTTACATAATTGGACAAACCATTCAGAGAAATATTACATGACCCTCTGTTGATATAAATTCTACCTTCTTTTAGTTATTTATTGTATATATATAACATTTTAGTATAGTAACAATAATTTTATATTTTTTTTCATATGCCACTGAGAGAGTAGATAGTTCGGGAAAGATGTTCAACTTTTTGCATTAATTTTTTGTACTCATAGAGTGCATATTTTACATTTTGTTTAACTCATGTAATTTATTTATTTTTAATGAAAATATTGTTAGGTTTTTAAAAATGTTGATTATATTTACTTTTGTGTTTGTCTATATATCGAATTGGGTAGTTGTACAGATACTAATGAGTCTTTGGTTTAACGGTACTCTTTACAATGTGAAAGTTTTGTTTTCTTGAGGTCAAGGGTTCAAGCTCCTTTCCCCCTCCAAAAAAAAAAAAAAAAAGTTGTACAGAGTGTATATATGCACAGGGTATATAACATTAGTTACCAACGGTCCATAATAAGTAAAAAAAAATTTTGTTTTTTTTTTTGGCAGCATCGTTTCCGTCATAAATATATCTTCTATTTTTTACGACAGTCAAATGTGGTATTTGAGGCAGCACTTTTGCCGCCGTGATAAAAACAAAAGTGCTGGATTTTTTATTACAAATTATTTACGACAGGGTCTTGCTGTCATAAATACTATTTGAGACAGACCGTTGCTGCCGTAAAAACCTTTTGAGACCACACTTATTATTGCGAGACAATGTCGCCACAATGCTGCCCAAAAAAGTATTTGTGACTACAAATAGACCTTTTATGACATCACTTTATCGCCATAAAAACCTTTTTTTTTTTTCTTATAGTGCAAAGATATAAATTTGTATCAATACACATCTAAAACTAATAACTTTTTGCCGTCTAAAACTAGTTGGGTAAGCTACACTTAGACCCCCTCAAGTTTATCACTTAATCATTTGGACCTTCTCACGTTTAGAATATTACTCCTACACATCCTAACGTCTGTGCACGTATAACACATAACTCCTTGTCATTGATATTTGTTAATATAACAATTAAAAAATATGGTTTCATCCTAATAAAAAATTATAATTTTCATATTTTCCTTTATTTTGTGGGCCCGTTATAATCTAAAGTTCAAAATCAAACTCATCATTTGAATGTCTAATATAATGCATATATTTACATAACATTTTTTATATCCAATGCAATACATTACTTAAACAGAATTATTTGGAAGCTCAATTAGGAGAACATTTTTAGTCATATTTGAATTCTCAGGCGATCATGTAGGTATAATACTTCAAATGTGAGGGACCTAGTTATAATTTATCTATTTTAATATTAGATGACAAATTGATAGTTGTTAGTTTTAGATGCACATTGATACAAATTTATATTTTTGAGGGTACAAATTAAGTTTTTGATATTTGAAGGTGTGAATTGAGATTCGAATAATCTTTTAGGATATAATTTGTAATTGACCCCAAGTCTTATTATTATTTTTTTAGTTAGTAGTTAAGTCCAAACTTTTTTTCATATGTCCAAAATGTGTAGTAGAATATCGTAATGGGCTCTCAATGTGAGAGTTGTGTCACATTGGTCTTCATATTTTTAATGTTGTGATTTCAAATTCTAATTTCTATCAATTTGGAGCAACAAAAAATGGCAGTTGACATTGACCGACAAAAATGATTACGTTCGTCTCACTTCACCATAATCACTTAGGTTCGTCAATTTCAATTTGTGTCCTTTTTACCTTGTTCTTTTATTTTTTTTGTCACTTTCTCACAATTTCAAAGAATGACACTCTATCGTGTGGTTTTATGTTAGTCAATTTTAGACAGCTGCCTTTTATTTTATTTTTTTTAAAAAAAAAGTGCCACAAATTGAAAACTCAAATGATTATAGTGATAAATTTGAAGGAACAAGGCCCAAAGCAACATAAAACACTCATATTTTAGTGGATTATTGTATTTTACCCTTTTAATAAGTCAAGGGCACATATATTTACCTAGTTCAAAAGAAATTATAAGTACCTTTTCAAGACAACCCAGGCTTGTGTATCGAGTACTCTTGCCTTCATAGTGAATGTGCTTTATTGCTTTCTGCATAGCCTTCTCTCTCAACTTGGAGAAGGGCCAGCATTTCAGAAGTGGTTCTGCCATATAGTAAAGTCCATTCATAAGCACATCCAGCACAAAGGAATGAGGGCAGTAGAGGTCCACCTGCATAAGTATTGACACAATTTTCATCAACAAAACAAATATAATATAGCAATTATATGCTTTGACGATTGTTTGTTGTAATTCAAAACCTTAGGCGTGAAGCTTAAGGACCCTTAAGAGTGATTCCGAGTTTTCTTCTTTCTTAAATATTATGCATCTAAACACTATTTGTAATGTTCATAACCCCTAAATCCTACCAATTTTGGCTATACATTGCTTAACTACATCAAATAGCGTGTTTAAATACATTTCATTTCAAATAGAAAAAAAAAATCCTAATGTCTCGGTGCAATTAAAAATTGTTTAGTTGGGCTTTCTGAAGACAAGCATTTGTCATTAACGACAACTTTGTTTTTCTACAATTGTCATTTTGGGAGTTAAAACACTCTTTGCTTATACCCTATTGTCGCATAAGTGTCATGAAGTGGATTTGTGGTCCCTTTTGTCCTTTGTCATTATGAAACTATGGGGCCCTTCAACGAAATACTTATCGTTTTACACCCATTTAATATAAATACAAATATTACGTAATCTAGTGGTTATTTCATAAATTTGAATTAAAATTTGTAATATTTGTTAAAACCAACTATAATCAAGTTGACCAAATCGAACCAGATATTTGGATTGGATATCCATTTTTTAATAAATTCAGATATGAACTACAAAAATAAAATTCATCGAATATTCAAATCAAATTTGGGTAGACTTTAAATCGGATTCCGATTTGGATTAATGTAAACCTAGGAAGCCCGAAGTCCGACTCTCAAGCTGGTGGCATATCCATGCCGGACACCTACATTCCTTGAACTCAATCCGACACGTGTCAAATACTCTTGTATCGGTGTCCAATACGCTTGTATTTGTATCCATAACAAAAAGATTAAATTTTAATTTTTGGACACATACTAGACACTCCTTTGATTGGGTATCTGACATTTCTTTAGGTCATGCCCACCATTAAACAAGAAACGCATGTAATCAACAAAGCTTAGATTTTTAACAAATGGTTGTCATGTTAAAGTTGTACTTAAAATTACAAATAAAAATAAACGATACATAAAAGTTTTACTAAGGAAGAAAAATAGTGTTTATTTAAACATCGATGATTATAGACTACTATGATCCATTACAAATTTTATACTAAATGACTAGTAATAAGATTTATTTTTAACCTGACATCTAAACCATAATTATTTATAACGTTTCTCCGTTTTGTCCGTGTCCTACATGTTTAAAAAAAGTCATATTCACTTGTCTGTGTTGTATCCTTGTCCTATGTTCGTATCCATGCTTTTTATGTATAAACTTAATCTAAATTTGATCCATTGACAAGTGTACTTATAACTATAAGTTTTAACCTCACAAAAAAAAATTAATAAGCAATTAATTAGTAAAGAAATGAGAAGGTAGCATTGAAGTTGACCAACCTTCAAACATGAATGTCGCGCTTTGTTCCAATCTATTTGGTCATAGGGTTGTGTGTAGAGTTCTTTTCTCAATGATAAAATGAGACTGGTGATGTGCCCCACAAATCTCTTTCCATACAAATATGACACAGGCATGTAAATTTCACGACAGAAGCACCACATTTTTGCTGCATTAATTTAAGAAGGCAAGAGAAAAAGTGAGTGGCACTCAAGTTAAGTATAAGACATATTCATGAAAACATGCGGATTAGAACCATCTATAATATATTAGATTTGGTGATTCTCTGAATTTTAATCTCTTCATTACATCTGATGGGTTTTTTTTGTGGAGTCTAGTTTGTGTGTGATCTAGATGATGACCTGATCCGACATAATATTGCGTGATTTTTAATGAAATTTTTTTGAGATTTAGTCCATGGAGCAGAGAATATTTTTTTTGGATCCGTTTTGTAGTCCTATGCGCAGAATATGTACAAACTGTTATTCGGTGATTAGGGTATTGGATTGATTCTATACGGTCACCGCCCTCTCTGTATTCTTTCTTGAAAATAGTGAAATTTTTGCTGTTTCGTGGATGCAGGTAAATTATCGAACCACGTAAATTCTGTGTTGTGTAATTGTTTAAATTGCATTCTTATCGTTCTTTTCATTAATTTCACTTTATTGTTATCGTTTGATTTCACTTTAATTTCGACCCAAATTTAAAATTTGTGTTGAGATGAGTTAATCAAAATATAGGGTGCATAATTTAGAAGTCAGAAGACTGATAAATCTAATATCAAAGATGATCTGAATGCAAAAGGTCCCATTTAGTTTTGCAAGCCTTTGTCATTCTCTCTCCCCCTTTATATATATATATATATAAATATATTAAAAAACACATTAACACAATAATACCATTCAAATTTAAGCCACTGACTATTTAGCTTTTAATCTTTCCATTTTACCATATAAATTTGGAATATATTAGTGGTTATCTAACTTAATTACAAAAATGCTTAATATTCTTTTTATAGGTTCGATGAAATTTGTTATTATCTTCGTTAATGTTAAATTTTCAAATGTATAAAACCTATCATATTAAACTTTCACATGATCGATGGTAAAAGTTTTTATCTTCAACAAAACGGAAAAAATTAATTCACACATCAAATTAATAAGATGCAAAAAATATTTGTCGATATATTAGGTAGTCAGTCTAGGTACGTTACACCTCTAGTTCGATATATTAGGTAGTTTATCTCAGGATTACAATACTATCTCACAACCTATAGCCATGAATTTCTTTTACCTGGATTAAACGGAAGAAATGAAAATGAAGGGATTAGCCAAAATTCTGGGGGCACTGGGTTGCAACCTGACCACTCATACACCCCAAGCACCTACAGTAAAGAGAGTGATTGCAAATCATACATATCTATATAATAAAATAACTTATAATTTAAATATCAAAAGATAAACAAAATAATTTTTGTTATTCGCGGCTCAAATCGCTTTAAATTTTACTTTAAAATTAATCTAATAGCTAATATTAATAATTTATATTTAATAGGAAAAATAAGCCTCTAAAGACGTGTTTAGAGTGACTTTTTAAAAATAATTATAAGAATTATTTCTCATAAATACTTAAAAAAAAATAGTGTTTAAAACCGTCTCACCACTACTTCTATCACCACCATCCCCACCACCACTACCTCTACAACCGCCACCACCACCGTCGCAGCCGCCGCCCACCACCACCACCGTCACCCCCCACCTCCACCACCACCACTGTCACCGTCATAGCCCCCACCACCGCCACCACCGCCACCACCACCGCTATCACGGTCATTATCACCCACCACAATCATTACCGTTTTCTACCACCACCACTACTGCCCACCACCTCTCACTCCCACTACAACCAATATTTAAATCATTTATCTCTTATCTATATTTGTAATTTGATTTTGGATATGAATGTAAATATGTTTATTGTTTACTATTTTTTTATTACTTTGTATCTTCAAGCACAGGTAATAATTAATAATATAATGAAATACAATACAATTCAAATTTTAAAAGATAAACAAAATAATTTTTGTTATTCGAGATTGAGATATCTTTAAATTTTACTTCAAAGTTAATTTGATGATTAATATTAACACTCCAAATTTAATATGAAAAATAGGGTTTTAATGATGTGTTTGAGGTGACTTTTTAAAGTATTTTTAATACTTATAACTTCTCATAAGTACTTTAAAAAGAATAATAAATAAAAACCGCCCCACTAACACTTCTACCACCACCACCCCACCACCCCACCACAATCACCATTACCATCACCGCCACCCCACCACCACCACTGTTGCCATCTTACCACACTCATCGTCTCACTACCATCATCACGACCACCACTACTGCCACCCCACCATCACCTCTTCTACAACAACAACAACCACCACCCCACCACCTCCATTATCATAACCCCACAACCACCACCATTGCTGCCACCATATTACCACCACCACTATCCCACCATTAACCTTACCACATCACCCCTACTGCCTCCTAACCACCATCACTATTGTCACCTACAGCTGCCTTCATTACAACTGGTTGTCATTATCCATCATAATTATTATTGTTGCCCACCACCACCACTGTCGTCCACCACCACCACTCGTCCACCACTACTAACACCACTCGCGCTCCACTATAACCAGTGTTTAAATTCATTTATTTCTCTTCTATTTTTGTAATTTTATTTTAGGTGTGAATACAATTATGTTTATTATTAACCATTTTTTTATTATTCCATGCTTCAAGTACGGAAAATAACTAATATATAAATACACACACACATAAGACTACTAAACTTCTAGACCATATTGAAAAGGCACCTTAAATTATTACTTTGAGTTGCACATTGCTTCAATCGTTGATTTGTCATGTTTTTGCATTAATTCAAGATAAAAATGGGAATCCACAACGTCGACAGATGCTGCCTTTATGGTGAAATTCTATATTTTTTTACTCTGATTTGTATTAAAAATTGGGCAAAAGTCAACAATTGGCAAAATGTGAAACTCAAACTAATATTTTAAGGACTAATGTGAAAAAATTATAGTATAAAAGTTAATGTGAAACGAGTTTTATAGTTGCGATATAAATTAAGTAAAATATGCTCTTCTTGGTATATAAATTTACCGAAAGCCAAATCTTTCCCCAAGTGGGTATCATTGTTACACCACCATGATCAAGAATCCATTTCCGGCCCTTTGCAACAGCTCCATCACCACCTTCTTCAGCTCCTTCCCCTAGTAAACGTAACCCAATGTAGTTATAGGTTGTACTGAGCATCGTGCTATGGCTTTCTGTATGGAATCCCCATCCGCCATCTTCATTCTGCGTAACACATACATTCAATTAGTTTCAGATACAAATATTTACTATAAGAGTGTGAAGAGATCAAGTTAGTACTTGATGATTGTAAATGTGTCGGATAATCTCCTTCATGTGTTCTGGCGATAGGACAACATTGAGTGTTCCGGTGAGGTATAGAGCAATGATCTGCATATCGTAAGATTTCTGACAACTTGGTTAAAATATGGAAAAATGATCTGCTTATTGTAGCAACGCATAACTGTGTATTTTCACAAAAAAACTCGATTTTTCTCTTCTACGCACGGTCTCGAAGGGCATGTTTGTTTCAAGGAATTAGTTGGGTGGGATTGGAGTCTTCTTTCCAACCCAATCCAGGCCTTTAGGTTTGTTAGGCATTAGATTACTATATGTTACCATTCTACACCATGAGATTGGGCAAGTTTTTCGCAATATATGTAAGTCCTACAAAATATAATGATTGCATTAGAGATTGATTTGAATGTCTGTTATTATGTGGTATTAGAAAAGGATAATATGATAATTTATATTTCTTTTGGTCCCCACAAAAAAAAAAAAGAAAAGATGTTACTTGTTGTCAATTGACTTTAATACCCTTGACTTGGTGTAAAACATAGGCATTAGAAGGGGTAATGTTGTAATTTATTACTGTAATACCATGTGTTGGTTTATTACTTCATTATTATACCACCCCTACGATGGTATTAATTAAACCCTCTTATATGGGTATAATTATACTGTACTGCGGGCCGATGCTTTTTTGAATTTTTGCACCAGGCCAACAATGGCATAATAAACAAGGTATAAGTGGCCATAGGTACTATTTTACTTTATTTCACCCCCTAATACCCTTCTTATCCGCAAAACAAACACACCCTAACACGAATATAAAGAGAACTTACCATGGGAGTTGTATAAATCAATGGACCTGAATTTTCTGAAGGCCAGTGGCCATCGTGAGCTTGGATGGCTGAAAGTAATCGAACGGCTTTAGTCAAAGACGTTGTAACTATTTCATGGGTGACTTCTTCAGTTTCTCCGATTTCCACTGGGGGTATGGTCAGATCAATCTGGTTTTCTTTGATGAGCTGTGCATTAAACTCGAAATGAGTCGATATAAAAACCATGAAGGTACAAATTTGCATTTAAGTTAATTCACTTTGTGCAAATAATACGATAATTAGAAATGTACTCAATTCATTGATAATTAACAAGACTGAATTAGATAACATGCATAGAATTTATACAGTCAATACAAGTAATTGACATAAAACTTTTTGAGTTGAGTTGGGGTAATTGGACTCAAGTTTCGCCCCTTGAAGGTTGGTCCCTCAACTTTGAAATTTCTAGTTCCCCCGGCTTCTTGGAAAGGAAAATGATATTTACATTTAATTTTATAATCTATCGCACGGCAAATCCAATAACCAAAATGCATTAAGTTGTCACATTTAGGTCCCAATGGCATCGCTCTCTTAGAAAAAACAACAAGAGATAATAGCATAGAAAAAGTCATGTCACTTCACCAAGGCAACAACAAATACATGTTTGGCCCCCACAAAATCATGTCACTTCCACCCCCCAACAAATAACTTAAAAACAGCACAAGAAGCAGCTTTTAAGATGGTGCAATAACACAATTCTACAGTCAGCATCCTTAGGTTTATGCATACCTGCATTCGAACCAGAATATCACTGCTAGGTCTAATTCTGAATCGATTCTTACGATATTCTTCCCGAGCTTTTTCAACTTGTGCTCGCTCCGTTGGAGTCCCGAGATCAGGATCATACTCCCAAATTTGTCTACCAAGAAAGTTGTTGGTGCTGAACAACCATGGCCCATGGCCTTCGGCGACCTTGAGTTTCCACATAGTCTGCCTGCATTGGATGCATACATTGAGGTACAAGAAAAATATTTCCGAACAATTTCGGTTTCTTCATTGAAAAAATGAATGCAACATGCATGTAAAGCATATAACAAAACTTAAAAAAAAAGTAGAAACTGGGAGTTTTTTTATCAAACCATGTGATTTGGCAAAATAATTTTCACAATGTAGTTTTGAAATTATTTCTCAAATGTATTTTATTTTTAAAAATATAGAAACGTTTTAAAGCTAAAGACGTTGGTATAAATAACGCCTTACAAAAACGTAGAAACCCGCATGGGTGGCCCAATAGTATAGGGTTGGACTTAAATAAATTATAAACTCGGACGTTAGCAATTCAACCCTCGCTGTCTCCTGGGCTTAACTGCTATATGTGGTTTATGGGGTGATTACAGATATCTGGAGTTTATTCTCGCATAAATGAGTCTAATGTAATTCTACCTTGGAGAATGGTGTCAGTTCAACTAACATTTTAGTTCGAAAAAAATCTCTTTTTTCCCTTCTACTCATCATATCCATTTTACCATTGCATTCGGTTGAAGAAGGTGCTAAAAATATCGGTTCAACTGACATTTTAAAGGACTATAACTAAAAATTGCACATAGCAAACATAGTTCTGAATAACGGTAACGATCATTGTAACGGTAATGATAACGGAGTAATGGACACGGGATGAAATGGGTGTTACGTAACAATAATGGAAATCGGGAACATGAATTTTTTGTTTTCGATCATACCTCTCCCAAAAAGCAAATTTATGCATTTTTAACTCCAAGTGTATGTAAATATAGGCCTTTTGTGATATGTTATACATTTTATTGTATCATAAATAATGTTTTATGAATTTATCTTTTAATCATTGTATGATAAAAGATTTCTAGTGACTTTTAATTGAATGCAATCCACTTAAATATTTTTGGGAGAATTTAGAAACCATAGCCAATTGAAATTTTATCAAGAATCTATTTTTTTTAATTATGGCTATACATTCCTAAAAGATGAAAAAATATTAGCAAAATACAAATAAAAAAACTGTTAATTTTATTGGGCCAAAGCTAAACTCAATTTCTACATTTGGGCTAACTTATATCTCTTGGTTTCACAACAAAGGGCAACTTGTCTTTTCACACATAATAACCAAGCCCTAAAACTAATCTCTTCTACCTCATTTTCGCCGCCGTCCATCTACAGAGGAGTACCAGCATAATAGAGCCCCTCCAAGCTCAAAAACTACTGCCGTTAAAGAGGGACCAGGTCTACACATTTCTTTCTCTTAATCTCTATTCTTCTCATTTCATATATTTTCTAGTTTTCTAGTAACAAAAGCAAGGGTCGTTGATGTGTAATGACTGTTATGGCTAAGTAACGGGATGTAACATTGCCATAACACCCGTTACAGCTCGTTACGCTGCCGTAACACCCATTACGAGTGTGAATATTTTTCTGACCGTTAAATCAAAGTGTAACAGTATCGTTAAAAGCATTAGCTGGACTGACTTTTTAGCTTAAAAAGCTTAGTTCAACTTCATGTTGAAAAACTATACTATACGAGTTTGTAAAATAGTTTCAAAATTATCCCATTCTAGGAATTATTTTGCCAAACCACATGGGTTTGGTAAAAAATTCATAAACTTGAGACATAACACTAAAATGGCTTCAAATTTGTATACCCTGTATTATTAAAGTTGTGGCGCAGAAAGTTTCTACAGGCAAAAAATGTAGGCCTTATGCTTACGCTTATGTATAAATGTTTTCGGGTACTGTTAGATTTGTACTCAAACTCTCTCCCAGACCTCATTAACGAAATCTGAACTGGGTGTTATTTTGTTTACTTCAAATTGGAAAACCACATGCAGGTAAGAGAGGGAGAGGGAGAGAGAGAGAGAGACCTGATTGAGAAAGATGAAGTAGTGATCAGCACCCGCTGTGTAGGTTACAAGAAGGTTATTGTCGTTGGACAATGATATCACTCAAGAACTAGATAAAATAGACTTCCGAGAAGCAAGCAAACCTGCAGTTATGATAGAATATTTTGTACATTCAATATTTTTTTTTTGATAAATCAGGCATCAATATTTCTTTTATGCAAGAAAATCAAGCATACAGCCACTTAAAGCAAAGAGTAAACTAAACATATGGCTCTCAAATTATGATGAAAAATAGCGGAAATTATGAGTGAGAAGAATTGCAACTCTCCTTGCACACTAGAGAGAGAGAGGCACTCTGCATTGCACATCCGATGCACGTGCCATAACCAAGCATGAAGCAACTAGACAAGCCTCTCTCTCTCTCCCTCCCTCCTCATCAACACAGTATGGAGGCCTTTGCTTGCCACCATGGCGGAGTTAATATGTAGTGAAGCCGTTGGCAGATGCCTAGTAATTGGGATGACATCGTTGGTACCATATAATAAAATATTTTTTATTTATTAATTTTTGTTTGATTTATTTGTGACCAATGAGTTTGAAGATAATAAATTAAAATAATAATAATAAAATTTAACAAGCATTACTTTGTGATCGGAAAAATTTTAAAAACTATCATATAAAAAAGTTATTTTTTAGTACTATAATTTCCAGTCGGGACCTCCGGAATGCATGGAACACCATATTCTAATTAATTTGATGCTCAGACATGGACCCTTGCCCATTACTTCTTTTTTTTCTTTTAACGGAAACCCATAACCGTTATTGGGACGCTGAGTAGGTGAGAGTATCATAGTTTATATCCATTCATAAATTGGATAAATTATTGTCTGATCTCTTCAACAAAGGTCCTGGTTTCATTTTATCTACTCAAACAACGAATTTTTCATATTATCACTCATCTACTTAAAGTAAAAGCCTGTTTTCAAAATACATTTTGATGAATAAGTTTAAAATTATAATCCTTGGATAAATAAGTTCTAAAATAATGATGGACTGATAATTTATGGGTTTATTACAGTTGTGGTCTCCAAAGTATACATTTTGTCTCATTTTAATCTCCAACGTTCTAATTGCATCAAGTTGGTCCCTCATGTATTACATTTGCAATTAACTAGTCCCCGCCGTTGACGCCATCCACAATTCTCATTGTTTATAACCATGTGTCATCCGTGTGAGAAAATGTGAGGGGCTTATGTGACATTTAACCCTCCACTTATTTCTCGAGGGAAACATTCCCGCCAACAATTGTTGTTTTATCAATTTTTATCTGTTACAGACCATAGGAGAAGAGAGGGAGAAAATGAGGGGAAGGGATCCACTGTGGCTGGAGTGGAGGCAAAAATGAGTGCATACCATACAAGTTGGTATGTCTCTCAGTATAAAAATAAAAATGAGTACATACCACACAAGTTGGTCTCTCGGTATAAAAATGGTGTTGCCTCCATTCTAGCCGCAATTGATCCCTTCCGTTCCCTTCTCTTCCCCTCATTTTCTCTCTCTCTTCTCCTATGGTCTATAACATACAAACATTAATGGAGGATATAACAACCATTGTTGGAGAGAATGTTTCCCTCTAGGAATGAGAGGAGGGTTAAATGTCACATAAGCCCTTACCTTTTTTCATGCAGATGGCACATGGTTATAAACCATGAGAATTGTGGATGACGTCAATGGAGGGAACTAGTTAAGTGCAAATGTAATACATGAGGGGACCAACATGATGCAATTAAAATGTTGGAGACCAAAATGAGATAAATTGCATACTTTGGGGACCACAATTGCAATTAACCCATAATTTATTCCCCCCTTCTTTCTTCATGCCTCGGAGGGTTGAAGGAATCCATTGTGTGTTTTTATGAACACACATAAGATGATATATATATTGAATATGTTTTACCCAATATTATACTACTAGTTATTGCTCGTGCCTTTAATAAAAAAAATGGTCAACAATAAACATATTTTTATTCACACCCAAAATCAAATCATAAATATAGTGGGAAAAGAAATTTAAGCAACAACTATAGTGGGGATGAACGGTGGTAATGGTGGTGAGCGACAGTGGAGGTGGTGGGAGACGGTGACGGTTGTGATGGACAGCGATGATCGTGGTGGTGGTAAGAGCCGTGGTTGACAACGGTGATGGTAGTGGTGGGTTTTGGGTGATGATGGTGGCAGTGACAGTCATGGATTAACGGTGATGGTAGCGGATGTGGATGGTGGTGGGCGATGATGATGGTGGTTGGTAGTGATGGTGGTGGGGCGACGAAGATGGTGGCAATGGGGGGTTTGGGTGATGGGTGACGATGGGTTCTTCTAGGCGACAGTGTGATGGGTGGTGGTGGTGGTGCCAGTGGTGGGCGTGGGTGACAATGGATGGCGACAGAGGTAGACCATGATGGGTGGTGGTGGTGGTTGGTTGTGATAGGTGTAGTAGAGGTGGGTGATAGTGGACGGCGATGACGGGTGATGGTGGATTGTGGTAATGGGTGATGATGAGTGGTGGTGGTGGGTGTTGACGGTGGACAACGGTGGTAATGGAATGATGGTGGTAATGATAATAAATATAAGATTGAGATAATGATAACGGTGAGTGGTGACGGTTGACGACGATGGTAATAATCGGTAGTGGGTGGCGATGGTGGTGGTGGTGGTGGGGTGGCAGTGATGGTGCAGTGATGGTTGTTGTGGTGGTAGTGTGGTGGTAGTGTGGTGGTAGCGGTGGTGGTGATGGTAGTGGTGAGAGTGGTGGTGGGGCAGCGGAGGTGGTGGTGGGGGTAGTTGTGGTGGTGGGGTGGCAGTGGTGGTGACAATGGTGAATTTAGTATGGGGACAGTGGGGATAGCTGCCCCCACTGAAATTTTAAAAAAATTTGGGACCTAGGTGTAATTTTAAAATTTTCAAAAATTTTTTAGACTTGTCCCACTAAAATTTTCTTAAAGTATAGGGTATATTAATATAATTTTCAACGGCCCCCACTGAAATTTTAAAAAATTATGGGACCTAGGTATAATTTTAAAAATTTCAAGACTTTTTTAAACTTGCCCTCATTGAAAT